TTGGATTATATATTTAGTTGTCTGTACCTCAATAGAGGTTAATCCTTTTGATTTGGTAATCTTCTGACTTATTCCTTTTACATCTATTATATAGTTAAGGTTTGTCATGATAGACATCAGAATTATCCTTGATTATTGAAATGTCGCACCCGTGTCTACTAAAAACACCAGTTCTTTTTCTGTAAATACGTTAATAAAAGTAACAAATAAATTCTGACTGTTTTAATTGCGAGAACCGTTACATTCTCTACTGTTGGACACTTAAAGGGTCTTGAGAGTTTTCCGATGTATTTTGGGCTACTCTCACATAATTATTGGTGTTATTGTGGCCTCTATTTGAGTTACCACTATACTGACCTCTTCCATTATTGTTATAATTTGTTACGGAACTGCTTTCTTGGGCAACGCCGGGCTAGCTCAGGAGGCCCAGGGCTGGGTTCGACCCAATGCCCGCAGTCCGCACAATAAAATATCGGACAATTCGGACTCTCATCACTGACAAAACTACCATCCCTAAACACAAAACAAAAGTAAACAAACGACAAATATACACTGACGACACTGCCGGAACAAATTGGTGGCATTGGTGTTATTGCCACATCGCACCCACCCATCCTGTGATGCCTCCTGAGTGTCTCGGGGCATCACCCATCTCCGGCGGACCGGAGCCTATTCCAGGCGGTCTGGCGACCGGCCCATCTCCCCCCAGGTATTTACTCTACTCCATTTTTATTTTCATTATTTATTCTATATCAATATTTCGTGTAATAGTAATATTTCCTTTTATAGGTGGTATTTCTCCACTCCCGGCGAGAGCGTGGCCCTAGCCAGGGATGCGCTTGCGCCAAGGCTGCGCTGTTGGGGGACTTAAAAACTAGCGGAGGAGAAGCGCCATAAACATTTGGCCTCAAACGGCCACAAAAACAATTACTCCCTCTTTTGAGTCCCTAATCCCTGCTGGAGCTCCAATAGAAATATAGGGTACAGGGGTTCACGACAAAAAAACAAAATATACTCAAGAAAAGGCAAGGACCGGCCTTCTTCCCCGTTCCCCCTTTGGTCACAGCTCCTGTGTTGCACCAATCCCGGACCCGGGATACGGCCAAGCGGAGAACAAAGATAACCTTACAAACAAAAGACACAAAATACGAAATAAACTATCCTAACCTAATTTAAATTTAAATTCAAATTTAATCCTTTTAATTTTGGTAGGGCCCTCCACCCGGAACGGACTCACCGGATTAGCCCTTGGCGGCTTCGGCGTCGGAGCGTGCGGCGCTTCGTCCTTCTGCGGCGGCGACTCCGGCTCTGGGCTCTCAGTTCGGCCGGCGCTGAAGTGGCGGCACGGGCGGTGCTAAGGGCGGCGGGCGGCGGTACGTGGCTCTGGGCTCTGGCGGCGGCACTGGGGGGCGCGGAGGCGGTGTCCACGGGCCGGTACGCGGCGGAACAGGGCGGTGCTGAGGCGGTGGCACTGGGCTCTGGGTGGGATCGCGTGCCCTCCTGATGGTTCTGGCGGGGCACTGGCGGCACGGGCGGTGCCGAGTCGGTGGCACTCGCGACACTACGGTGGCTCTGGGCTCTGGCGGCGGCACTAAGCGGCGCGGAGGCGGTGTCCACGGAACGGTACGTGGCTCTGGGCTCTGGCGGCGGCACTGGGCGGCGCGGAGGCGGTGTCCATGGGCCGGTACGCGGCGGAACAGGGCGGTGCTGAGGCGGTGGCACTGACGATCCAAGCGCGCACTCTCCGACAGTCAACGGGTCAATTTCTTTCTCTCCAAAAACCTCGCGCACGGTTTCTTTCCAATTCCTGACTCCTCGTTTTTTCCCTCCTGCACCTCCTTTTATTGCCTCCGTTCCTTTTCCGTGTTCCACAGCTCCACGCCGTTACTTTTGCATTTCCTTCTTGCCCTTCCGAGAGAAAGGTTAAGAAACCTTTCTCTTAAGCCGCATTCAAAGTTCCCGGTTCGCTCAGCTTCCTCCTCCCCCCCTGGGACCACCGATCCTGCCTCTCGCTATCGATACATCGATAGCCTCTTGCCCCTCCGAACTCCGAAATGCAACACCACCCAAGGACTTGGAGATGTGCTACAAGGAGCCGGCTCGACAAGATCATTGGGAGCATTTGAATGACATCTCCAGCGCAGTTCCGAACGGTGCCCAACGCGGGGCCCGCGTCCTACGGGAAGTACCTCTACCTTTTTGGTCTTGCCCATGTGTACTTTTGCTCCCTCTTCCAGGTCATACGCGGATATCCTTGGCGTGGTACACGCCCAAACTCCTGCCGTCCAGGTCCTCCAGTTCGTACGCGTTTCCGCCTATTGCCTTCACCACCCTGGCCTTCAGGAACTTCTTGGCGAACTTGGCATTAAACTGTTTCCCAAAGTCGCTGAGGACGAAGTTTCGGCGATATACCTCCTGACCTGGCCTTGCTGCAAACACTCTGGCTCTCTGATCGTAACGTCGACGACTGCGATCGTATGCGGATTCCAGACACTTTCGCACCTTCTCCTGTACCACTCGGAGCTTGTGGGCAGTTGGCATGCCTGCCATCTCGTGGTCACACAGCGACTGCAGCTTCCTGGCCAGTCGGTAGCTGGAACCATGCAGGAACATGTGGTGTCCGAAAAGTGTGAAAAACGGCGCTTCGCCCGTAGCCGAATGGACTGCGTTCCGGATGGCCACCTCGATCTCGGGAAGATAGGCATCCCAATCCCGATGGTCGTTCTCCAGGAACCCTCGGATAGCCGCCAGTACGCTCCGGTTCACCCGTTCCGCTGCGTTGCTCTGTGGAGAGTATATCGGAGTCTTCACGTGTCGGATCCCGAAGCTCTCCATGGACTCCTCGAAATCCTCGACGTAAACTGTCGTCCATTGTCCGAGTGTACGATTTCTGGTACCCCGAACTTGTAGAAGACCTCATTGATGAGGAAATCCACGACGTTCGAGGCTGTCGCTTCCCTCATGGCCTTCAGGAATGTGTACTTCGAAAAATGGTCCACCACGATAAAGACCCAGGCGTGTCCTTTCCTCGACCTCGGGTACTTGCCCAGGAAGTCGATGTACAACTTCTGGAATGGCCGCTCTGTCTGCACTCGCTCGCCGATCCCGACCATCATCCGGTGATTCGGTGCCTTCGATTCCTTACAGACCTGGCATCTTCGGACAAATTCCCGCACCTGCAGTACCATCCCAGGCCAGTAGAACTGCCGCCGAAGGATCTCCAGGGTCTTCCCCATTCCGCCGTGAGCAGCCTTTGGGTCTGAATGGGCTCGCTCAACCAGGCTGTGAGTCAGACTCTGCGGTATCCAGAGCTTCCATGTCGATCCGTCTACCTCGTCGTCCACAGTTGCTAGGGAGGTTCGCTTGAATATGAGTCCGTCCTCAATCCTAAGATCCGGTAAGTTGTCCTTGTTTTCCAGAATCTCTCGGACTAACTCCTTATATTCATCTCCAGCAAACTCGGTGGTCTCAAAACCCAGCAACTTGGTCGGGTCCACTGTGATCTCGTCCACGCATCGCGAAAGCGTGTCTGCCACCACGTTCTCGCTGCCTTTCCGGTGTTCGATCTTAAAGTTGAAGCCCTGGAGCTGCAGCGACCACCTGGCCAGGCGTCCCGACAGATCCTTCATGGACATCAACCATTTTAGGCTGGCGTGATCGGTGATGCAGGTAAACGGCATGCCTTCTACATAGGGCCGGAACTTGCGGATCGCCAGGAGAGCAGCAAGACACTCTTTCTCGGTGACGGTGTAATTCACCTGGTGCCTGTTCATTTTCGCCGAGAAGAAGGCAATCGGCTGCTCTTGGTCCTCCTCGTTCTTTTGGAACAGAACGGCCCCAACTCCGACGTGCGATGCGTCACACTGGATGTAGAAGTGTCGCTGGAAGTCCGCGTGCACCAGCACTGGTGCCGTGGTTAACGCCACCTTCAACGCTTCTACAGCCTGCCGCGCTTCCGGACTCAAAGAAAACTTGTTCCCAGTCTTCTTGAGGGATTCGGTTAGCGGCGCTGCCAGCGTCGCGAAGTTCCTGACGAAACGTCGATACCAGCCAGCGGTACCCAGGAACGCGCGCACCTCCTTCATCGACCTCGGCTCCGGCATCCTTCTGATTGCTGCCACTCGACCGGGATCCATGCTCAGACGACCTCCACCAACGACAAAACCTAAGTACGTCAAGGACTTGAAGCAGAATTTTGATTTTTTTAGGCCGATGGTTAATCCTGCTTCTTTTAGGCATTCAGCGACCCGTCGTAGGTACCGGAAGTGCGTCTTTATGTCCGGGGCCAGTACGAGCAGATCGTCCAGGTATACGAACACATTGGATCGGATCTCGGCTGGGATTACTCTGTCCATGAGTCTCACCAACCTCTGTGCCGCATTACAGAGACCGAACGGCATCACCCTAAACTGGTAGAGGGGCCGACCAGGCACCGTGAACGCCGTCAACTCCTTGCTTTTCTCGTCCAGTTCGATCTGCCAGAAGGCGAATTTCAAATCCACACTGGAGATGAAGTGGGTTTGATCGATTCTGGACAGGATTCCATCGATACTAGGCAAGGGGTAAGCGTCCTTGACGGTCACGTCGTTCAGTTTCCTGGCGTCTAGGCAAAATCTATCCTTTCCAGGCTTCGACACAACTGTCGTCCGGTTGCTCCAAGGACTCTTGCTCTCCTCGATGACTCCCAGGGCTAGCATTTTGTCGACCTCGTCCTCAACCACCTTCTGCTTCGCCGGAGACATCGGATAGGGCCGGTCTTTAAAAACCTTCGCGCCTGCCACTAGCTCGATGGTGTGCTTTTCCAGTCCAGTGGTACCCAAGCCGTCCTTCTCGAAGGTGAGAAACACCTTCTTAATATCTTCGAGCTCCCGGGTCTCGGCTTCGGATAGTGTCCAGGATTCTGGGTCCGCCTTCTCCTCGTCGTCTTCCTCCTGGTCGACGTAATGTTCCATTTCCCTAGCGTGAATTTCCTCGGCCTTCACGCCCTGCACCGGGCAATTTCCCACTACAGCCGGGGCCAGTTCAAATGTTCGCCAAAAATCGACGCCGAGGTATGCTGCCTGCTCCAGGTACGGGCACAAATAGATGAGGATATACTCTACCCTTCCTTTGTATTTTACAGGTACCTTGATCCGACCGATGATCGACCGATCTTCGCCAGCAGCTGTTCGTACCACCGAGAAATACCTCTGCACGGGGACACCCAACGCGTCCACCAGCTGCCTGCTGCCTTTTCCGAGCAGACTGACACTCGCTCCGGTGTCTAACAGCCCAGTCAGCTGCTGGCCTAAAATCGTTATTTGGGCGAAAGGCCTGGGATCGTGGGTGTCACCCCGCTTGACGGCCGCAACGACTTCTCTCCGCTTCTCCTGGCGTTTCTTAAAGCGATCTCGGGCCTTCAAGACAGTTCGGGATACCTTGCGCATACCGCTTATCTGGTGCTGCTCGAAAATCCGGTTTCTTACTTCTAAATACCGTCGCATGCGCTCTTCAGGGGGTAAATATCTTAACCTATCAGTATTATTACCCTTATTTAACATTTGTTTATTTTCGGGCTCTTTTATTTGGCGGTGTTCCTCGCTAGGCGTGATCCTCCCGCCTTTGGATCGCGCAGCCATCCGTTTCCCGCACAATTCGGGCATTTCGGCGCAACAACGTCCGCTTTTCCACAGCGGAAACAAAAAACCTTGGTCAGCTCCTTCTCGCAATCCCGGAAACCATGGTCCATGGCTCCACAATTCCAGCAGCCAGCCCGGAAAGGATTTCGAGGCCGTTCCCGGACTTCCTGCACTTGCAGTGGTTGCTCGTCTTCCTCCTCCTCCGGCTCTGAAGCAAACGCCTCGCTGACTCGGTTCCGTTCCGCTCCTTGGTAGCGCGTTGGTGGCAGGAATTGGGTCCGGCTTTTGCGTCCGAAACTACGCTCCACCTCAAGGCTCTCTTGCCGCAGCTCATCGACGGTGAGTAGCTCCATGGCATATACAAAGCGAGCAATTCCCTCTCTTAAACCCCTTTTCATCACCTTTACCAGGTGGCGCTCCGGCATTGGCTTCCTCAGGCGGGAAGCAAGGGTTTGCATCGCGTGCAGATAATCATCGACGCTCTCCCCGGACTGCTGCTCCCGCTGCAAAAGTTGATGCATCCGTTGATGCTCCGTCTCATGGCTCTGGAACCTATCGATCAGCGCTCGGCGCAGCTGATGCCAACTGTCCAGTCGGTGCTGCTGCACGTGGATCCAAAACCACTCCAACGCCCTGCCCGTCAGCAACGTGTGGAAGTTACGCATCACTTCGGCCCACGAGCAACGAGATTGCGTCTGGAGATACTCCAAGCGGAACAGGAAGCCTTCGATGTGGTTCCGCTCGTCCTCACCGCTAAATGAGATGTTCCACCTATCCACCCTGGTGCCATGGGAACTGTCTCCCGCGTTCCAGTTGACATACATCCGTTCGTCACGGAAATCGCCAGCTCGGCGGTCCTCGACACGCCAGTTCCGACCAACGCAGTCATCTCTACGCATTTCCTCAGTCTCGGTGGAACCGTCTGGACTGTTGGAAAAGCTCTCGGCTGGATCGGGTGCCCTCCGGGGTGGCTTCGGTGGCACTCGTGGAGTCGGCCGCGTCTCTTGCCAGGCAGCCGTCTGCCCTTGCTTGGGTATAGCTCCGCGAGCGTCGTATACAGCTTCCCTCGATCGTCCAAATGGCGGTGGCTGCTGCTGTTGACGGTGTTGTGGTCCTGCCGTCATCGGTTGCTGCTGTTGGCGGTGTTGTGGTCCTGCCGTCATCGGTTGCTGCTGTTGACGGTGTTGTGGTCCTGCCGTTATCGGTTGCTGCTCCGCGCTCCCTCCTGGAACGTGTTGCGGCTTTGTGGAGGGTCTCAGTACCTCGTTCATTAATTGCATCATTTCCAGAAAACCGGCCCGCATCTCGTCCCGCAAGCTCTGGCTAATCCCAGCTTCTTGGGACTTGCGATACGTTTCTGCAGCCTGAGCCAGGGCAAGGTTCACCGCCGACTTGGCTGTGGAATCTACGGGCGGCTCCTGGGAATGTACCGAACGCTGAGCGGGATCCATCTCTACCAGGTGTTCAGCTGCTGCCCCGATCGCATCGAAGTCTAGCTGTTTTGGATGGACATGCTCCTCCGGTGGCCGCTCCTGTCGCCGAGATGGGGGTGTCCTCTGCAATCCCATTGAGGGCCGCGGCGGCGCGAACCCGACAGCACCCTCCCCATCCGTGGACCACAACTCCTCTTCCTGGGCTGAAGGACCCTTCGACCTGAGCTGATAATTGTTTCCCTTGTTCCCTTCCATAATCCAATTTCATTAATTCCTAACAGCTAACGGTTTGATTCTTACTAAATAAATATCTCAACGTAAATAAATCCACAGGCAACAAATAAATAATTCAGTAGGAAATTAATTTAATAAATAAATAGACAATTAAATAAATAAATAAATAGACAATTAAATAAATAAATAAATAATAGAAATAAATAACCAGTCGGTCAGAAAATTATTTCTGCAATATCCACAATTAATTATTAATATTTTCCTTAATTTCAGGGGAGATGGCCGATCAACCGCCGGTGGGCTCCGCACCAGATACTTGCGTCTTCAATCGTCCCGTGTCGTCCCTAATCCGGCCATTCGTCAACTGGGCTAACTTTCAGCTGGGCTGAAAGTCGCCAGTTAAGGACATGGGCCTTCAGCAGTATCCCGTAGGATTTTCCTTGATGGCTGGGACTCCGAAGCTCTGATTGTGGTGGCCGTGCAGCGCGCAGTGAGACCTGCGGGTCACGACTTCACCAACAGAATGATACCAGGAAGCCCCTTCCACCAGGAAAACCCAAGGATCTGCACAAATTTACATTACATGGAAAACAAACATCTTTACGTTAAATTAAATAAACAACATTTATTACTTTCGCCTAAATTATCTCACAATTGTTCTAATCTCGTGCTTCATGCACGGATCTGTGGGCGAGGAACAGTGCTGCCAATTTGGATTTTTTCCCGTCAAAACTGGCTTTTTTTAAAGGCTAACTGCTGGAAAAATTTGTGAATTGCGGGAATTGTGAAAAGCGGGAATTCTGGCTTTTTTGGAAATTGAATTGGCTTTTTCCCGATTTTTTTTGTGTTGTTAAAACTTAAATACAAAATATGAAAAAGTGGCAGCTAAAAAATTAGCTTTACAAACAAACCAGATAATGTAGCGACGTATCGTTTGGTTTAATTGATATACGCTAATGTCATAACTCGCTTAGTGTTTCCATCTCTATATAAAAAGTGCGCGTAAATTGTTAGCAAGTTCTAAAATGCCGAAGGAGTATAAACAAAAATGCCGCGATGTCTGGCTTAAAAGTGATGAATTTAAGGCATGGATTCGCAGGGATGACACAGACCTGCAAAGGGTTTATTGCAACTATTGCAAGACTACTATTACAGCTAAACTTAGTGATCTGCGAGCTCACGCTGCAACAAAGAAGCATACTTGTGCAAGCAAAAGATATTCATTTCTATTTATATTCATTTTTATTTTAATATACAGAAACAGATTGCGAAGGGTCGGGAAATGCTGCGTCGACTATGCAGTGCCAATCAAATATCTGCAGATTATAGGAACTATTAGGTCTTACGAAAATAAGGAAGACCATGAAGAAATTGATCAAATTATGGAAATCTTTTGAACAAAAATGAACTTATTAAATTGTTATATTTTTGACATTTTTTCTATTTTTTATAGATTTGTTTCAGCCTTTTTTGGATTTTTTTTATAAATTTTTTAAGCTTTTTTTTTCACTTCTCCCGTCAAAAACAGCTTTTTTTGTTGGTCAAAAGTTGGCAGCACTGGCGAGGAATGCAAATCCGTCGTTTCCACGCCCGGATGTCATCCCCTTGCCACAGCAGAACCCTTGCGAATGTCTACAGGAGCAATTGCCTGTCCTTCTGCGGAGCAAGCCTCCCGTCTTTCGGTGAAAGAAAACAAAAAACAACACGTACGCCTGGGCCGCCAGTCCCCGGTCCTCGGTGCAATTGCAGGCCGTCAATATAGGCCAAGCAAGCCACCGATTGCAGGGGCTGGATGCCCCGGGACGCGACCTTACGAGACATCGTCATTCCGCTAAACTCTTATTTGTTTTTTTGAAAATTGGGCGCCATATTGTTACGGAACTGCTTTCTTGGGCAACGCCGGGCTAGCTCAGGAGGCCCAGGGCTGGGTTCGACCCAATGCCCGCAGTCCGCACAATAAAATATCGGACAATTCGGACTCTCATCACTGACAAAACTACCATCCCTAAACACAAAACAAAAGTAAACAAACGACAAATATACACTGACGACACTGCCGGAACAAATTGGTGGCATTGGTGTTATTGCCACAACGCACCCACCCATCCTGTGATGCCTCCTGAGTGTCTCGGGGCATCACCCATCTCCGGCGGACCGGAGCCTATTCCAGGCGGTCTGGCGACCGGCCCATCTCCCCCCAGGTATTTACTCTACTCCATTTTTATTTTCATTATTTATTCTATATCAATATTTCGTGTAATAGTAATATTTCCTTTTATAGGTGGTATTTCTCCACTCCCGGCGAGAGCGTGGCCCTAGCCAGGGATGCGCTTGCGCCAAGGCTGCGCTGTTGGGGGACTTAAAAACTAGCGGAGGAGAAGCGCCATAAACATTTGGCCTCAAACGGCCACAAAAACAATTACTCCCTCTTTTGAGTCCCTAATCCCTGCTGGAGCTCCAATAGAAATATAGGGTACAGGGGTTCACGACAAAAAAACAAAATATACTCAAGAAAAGGCAAGGACCGGCCTTCTTCCCCGTTCCCCCTTTGGTCACAGCTCCTGTGTTGCACCAATCCCGGACCCGGGATACGGCCAAGCGGAGAACAAAGATAACCTTACAAACAAAAGACACAAAATACGAAATAAACTATCCTAACCTAATTTAAATTTAAATTCAAATTTAATCCTTTTAATTTTGGTAGGGCCCTCCACCCGGAACGGACTCACCGGATTAGCCCTTGGCGGCTTCGGCGTCGGAGCGTGCGGCGCTTCGTCCTTCTGCGGCGGCGACTCCGGCTCTGGGCTCTCAGTTCGGCCGGCGCTGAAGTGGCGGCACGGGCGGTGCTAAGGCGGCGGCGCTGCGGCTCTGGGCTCTCAGCTCGGACGGCGCTGAAGTGGCGGCACGGGCGGTGCCGAGTCGGTGGCACTCGCGACACTACGGTGGCTCTGGGCTCTGGCGGCGGCACTAAGCGGCGCGGAGGCGGTGTCCACGGAACGGTACGTGGCTCTGGGCTCTGGCGGCGGCACTGGGGGGCGCGGAGGCGGTGTCCACGGGCCGGTACGCGGCGGAACAGGGCGGTGCTGAGGCGGTGGCACTGGGCTCTGGGTGGGATCGCGTGCCCTCCTGATGGTTCTGGCGGGGCACTGGCGGCACGGGCGGTGCCGAGTCGGTGGCACTCGCGACACTACGGTGGCTCTGGGCTCTGGCGGCGGCACTAAGCGGCGCGGAGGCGGTGTCCACGGAACGGTACGTGGCTCTGGGCTCTGGCGGCGGCACTGGGCGGCGCGGAGGCGGTGTCCACGGGCCGGTACGCGGCGGAACAGGGCGGTGCTGAGGCGGTGGCACTGACGATCCAAGCGCGCACTCTCCGACAGTCAACGGGTCAATTTCTTTCTCTCCAAAAACCTCGCGCACGGTTTCTTTCCAATTCCTGACTCCTCGTTTTTTCCCTCCTGCACCTCCTTTTATTGCCTCCGTTCCTTTTCCGTGTTCCACAGCTCCACGCCGTTACTTTTGCATTTCCTTCTTGCCCTTCCGAGAGAAAGGTTAAGAAACCTTTCTCTTAAGCCGCATTCAAAGTTCCCGGTTCGCTCAGCTTCCTCCTCCCCCCCTGGGACCACCGATCCTGCCTCTCGCTATCGATACATCGATAGCCTCTTGCCCCTCCGAACTCCGAAATGCAACAAATTGGAACTTTTGTAGTTGTTGTAATAATTTTTACAACCACAAAAGTTTCCTCTGAAATTTCCACGTCCGCGGTTCCCACCACGCTGTGGATAATTTTTATAATAAAGGACATTTTTGGTTGTCCAGTTGCTTCATGGTGTTGAAGGTGCCAGCCTGTATAATAAGTTTTACCTTATCAATTGCGCAATTCTTTGTCATTGCCTTAACTGCGGACTGTGTAGAATAGCTTCTGGCTAAATCAAGGGTTAGGCCGTCCGCTATGTACGGACTTTCTAGACCTCTTGTCGTCTGTTTAACCTCTGATGTTTATTGGTTTGCAGTTTTGTTGCGTTGCTGTAGATTCATCAGTTAAGCTGATAATACTTCTACAGTTTCGCCTTTGACATTGCTTTTTAGTCTGGAAATGACTTCTAATATAGTAGTTTCATTTCCGGCTAGGTTTCTGGCGATACCTTTAAGCTTTGTTATTATTATTAAAATAGCTAATTTTTCGTTTTCGCCTTTTATTGATTCTACGATCAGGGTACTAACGGCTGAACTCCGCTACTGAAGTATGGGTCCCTTTTCATACCCTGCAGTACCGCGTGTCATCAATAGGCCTCTGTCATCAACATGTCATCAACGCGCCGACTGCGACTTCTACCGAGGCGACGCTCTGCCGACTGCGACTTCTACCAAATCGACCCTCTGCCGACTGCGACTTCTACTACGACGCTCTGCCCACGATACAGTTACGGCGGTAGTCTAGACGGCAGTCGTCGGCAGTACCAAGGCCCGGCCGTTGAGAAATTTGTTGATGAAGCATCGATGAATTGTTGATGAAACATCGATGTTTCATCGTGCGTAGTAGTGCGTACCCTTTAAGTACTCTTGGTACAGTGGGTATTCAATATTAGTGCATACTAAGTCCTCATCCGAATCACAATTAGATTGCAATTCCTTTTCAAATGGGATGTTGTTCTCGGTTGATGGCAGCTCCAAAAGGCTTAAACTTCTTTGGGAATTGTTTTTTTTTTTTGTGTTTTTTCGTTTTCTTTCCTTTAAACAGACTCTAGATAGTAACGGATCCGAGGAATCGATCGCCCTGTGGAAAATGTCAGTCATAGTCTTGATTCGGCTATTTTTCCTTGCGTAAGAGAGTCGGTCTTTTTTATAGATTTTATTGCGGTTTCTGAAGCATTTTCGCCTAAGCATCCTAGTGGAACTAACGTCGAATTATTTATTTGAAAACCTTGGATATATAGGCAAAACGTTTTTTCACAAAAAGTTCAAAATTTTTCAGAGTTTGAAATTTGTATTAATATAACGTGATCATTATTTTAAAGGGTTTTGTCAAAGCCGGTTATAGATGATAGTTGCTCACTATTTGCAAAACCTCTTCTTGCTTTATTACTGCTGTTCCAGCTACCATTCTGCTTTGGTACGCTTACTCGAAGACCCATATCATTCCACATTTTCTCCAGAATATATTTTTTTCCACGCTCTCATTTTACTCTTGTCATCACCTTTTACATCCCATTTTTGTATGATATATTCAGGACAAATTCTAAAAACCGAATCCAAGCATGTAGAGGACTCACCCCAAATTTAAGAGCTTCAAGCTTGGGCGTAAAGATTTTTGAATTGAAATCTTTGATTTCCATTACTTTTGTGGGGGTAACACCAGAAATTGGACAACATTGAGTTGATTTATTTTGAGTAAGTACACTTAATACATTTTTGTCAATGAATGTCATATGCATTTTAAAGTCAAACTGTTTTTTTTCAAAACGTATATGATCAGAAGTTTTTTAAACAAATTGAATTTTCAGCGGCCTGCAAAATCGAATAGATTGCGGTGTTCTTTTAAGCCAGATATTTCGTTCATTTTTATGGGTATAACAGAAATTACAAACAAAGACTGATCTGAAACTTGAACGCCAGGTATTTTTACTTCAAACTTCTGCTTGTATGTACTTTGTCCAGTTGATCCATCAAAGTCATAACTGCAAATTAATTTGACTACAGAACTGCTTAAAAACATCTATTTGCATTTTAATTATTCGCTTTGCTGAATGATTTAAAACGGCAGAATGCATAAGAAGAGTTGTATTTGCTATTTTTCATTCGCCAGCTCAGATGCCAATTTTCTTTTCAATCGTGGTCCTGCCTTTTCATAAGACAAAGTTCTGCGTCCCGGTTTTAGTTGTGTCTTACAGTTTTCATTTATTGTAACTGATATTGTAGACGACATCCATTCAGTATTCTTTGACTTAAAACCATATAGCTGCATTTTGATAGTCTTTTTTATACCCTTGCAGGGTATTATAATTTCAGTCAGAAGTTTGCAACGCAGTGAAGGAGGCACCTCCGACTATATAAAGTATATATATTCTTGATCAGGATCAACAGCCGAGTCGATCTAGCCATGTCCGTCTGTCCGTCTGTCCGTCTGTCCGTCTGTCCGTCTGTCCTTCTGTCCGTCTGTCCGTCTGTCCGTTTCTACGCAAACTAGTCTCTCAGTTTTGAAGCTATCTGAATGAAACATTGTAGTTAGCCTTCTATATATTCTCACTCGTATACATGTCGGAACGGGCCGGATCGGACGACTATATCATATAGCTGCCATAGGAATGATCGGAAAATTTTTACAAAAAAAATTTTTAACTTTTTCAGTTTTCAATAGAATTGGATCAAATTTGAGATATAGCCATTTAACTATACTCTACAATTTTGCATAAAATTTTATGAAAATCGGACGACTATATCATATAGCTCCCATAGGAACGATCGAGAAATTAATACAATTAAATTTATAACCTTTTCAGTTTTCAACTGATTTTCATCAAATTTTAGGTATAGGCATTTAATTTAAGTCTTAAATTTTGTGGTAAATTTCATAAAAAATCGGACGACTATATCATATAGGTGCCATACAAACGATCGTTTGATGTGGAGGAAAAATGCAAATCAGTGAATGTAAAACTGCAAATATAATATGTATAGGTGAATGAAATGAAAGCAGGTATTACTTCATTATTTTTTAACACAAAGATATATAATTTGTATTGTATGGTTTTTTATTCATAGAAGTTCTATCTGCAAGGGTATATAAACTTCGGCGTGCCGAAGTTAGCTTCCTTTCTTGTTTTTAATGATTCAAAATCACTTTTTGTTTATTGATTTCTAATTTTTTATTATCTTCAACGTGGTAATGGCTAATGCGATTATTGCTGAGTCAAATATCGAAGAGATCGCTATGGCGTAATTCGAACGTCGCTTAATATTGCGGAATTGCGAGAAAAATTTGACGAACGGGGAAAAGTTGTTAATAAGCGATAAAGAATGACATATATTAGTATAAACTGAAGTAGTTAGTTTTTATTTTCTTAGTTTTGTTTATGTTTAATGTTTTAACTTTAGTAATTTTAAATGAAAAATACAAAACATTAACATGCAATTTTCGAACTTATGCCAAAAAAATCAACTTCTGGACCATAGTGCACTTGAAGACTGTCTTTTTTCGCTTGGCTTAAATGCATACACAAAGATATTAAGTGTAACACTTTGTTGCCTTTACTTTATTTTAGAATAGTGTACTTGATATGAGAATATTACATCTCTTTCCTTTTAAAAAATAACGTAATATTATGGATATTAATGTTGGGTAAAAATTAGGAAAATTAGAAAAATTTAAAAGGTAGTCGGTTTTATCACCTGATATATATCAACGTTTTTTTTTTTTATTTTATATTCGACTTTATTTATAGAACAACACCTAACGTAACATAAATACTTAAAGACTAGGAACGAGGCAAGGACCCTTATTGTGCGGTACGGCCGCAAAGCAATGCTTCGCTCAATAGTAGGCCTCTTAGCCCGTCCGCTCCCTTCTACCCCTCTCCAACACTCTGAGAGCCTTCAGCACCTTGGCAGAGAATGCTGCTGTCGCTTCCCACATCCTGGGAGTCTCCAACATCAGCGGCACCAGCGTGTCCACCCTGATCTCCGCTCCTGCTACCTCCTCCAGGGCGGAGGATTCTCCTTGTGGAATCTGCGGCATTCGAAAACTATGTGGTACACATCCTCCGCAACTCCAGAACCGCACTCCGGGCAACCATCCTCGTCGTCATGGCCGAACCTCTTGAGGTAGCTACGGAAGCAACCATGCCCGCTCAAAACCTGGGTCAGGTAGAAATCCACCTGACCATGCTTCCGCTCCATCCATGCCACTAGGTTGGGGATCAGCCTGTGCGTCCAGCGCCCTTTGGACGAGGCGTCACACTTCGCCTGCCAGCTCTCGTAGCTGCTTCCTCTAGCCGCGCTCTTCGCCTCGGCCTTAGCGCCGCCTCCTGGTCCTTCGTGACTTCGCAGCGCACACCGAACCTCAGCCTTCTCACGGACCAGCTCCCTCAGGGGGACCATGCCGGCTATCACCAGAACGGCGTCGTCCGAAACCGTCCTGAACGCGCTCGCCACCCTAACAGCGCACAGTCTGTAGGTGGCCTCAACGCCCCGCATATACGATTTCGTCGCGGCTGCTTTTGCGCACACCGGCGCCGCATACAATATTTGGGATGTTACGACGCTCGTCAGCAGCTTGAGCAGCTTAAGCAGTATGCGGGCGAGACTTCCTGCCGTCCCGCTGGCCTTCTTCTGGGCATACTCCAGGTGCTCCCTGAATGACAGCCGTGTGTCGATTAGGACGCCGAGGTATTTGATCGCCCTCTGCGATCTGATCGCGGTTCCACCGACCCGGATCTCGGCCGTTTCCACCGCTTTCCTGCTCGAGATCAGGACTGCCTCCGTTTTGTGCGCCGCTAGTTCCAGGCCGGCGCTCGTAAGCCATGCCTCGATCGTTCCGATCGCTTCGTTCGCCAGGTCTTCCGCAGCGGTACGCTCCTTGGCGGTTACGACCACTGCCACGTCGTCGGCGAACCCGACAACAGTAGTGCCACTGGGCATAGGTAGTCGCAGAACCCCGTCGTACATGGTGTTCCAGAGCAGGGGTCCCAACACGGAGCCCTGGGGGACTCCGGCAGAGACTTCGTATGCTCTGGAACCCATAGCTGACGCCACTACGAGCACTCTCTCACTAAAGTAGCTCCTTACTACTTTTAGTAAGTACCCTGGGATATTCAGGGCGACGAGGGACTCCAAGGTTCGGTTCCAGTCCGCGGTGTTGAAGCCGTTCCTTATGTCCAGCGTAACCACGAGACAGTAGCTCTTGGAGCCGCCTTTCCACCTCGTACCCGCGAAGGCCGAACCAGCTATGTCCTTGACCAACTCAATGGCATCGAGCGTGGACCTCCCTTTCCGGAAACCGAACTGGCTCGGCGAGAGACCTCCGGACTCCTCGATGGCCGCAGTTAGTCTGGCTGCCACGATCTTCTCGAACACCTTGCCAGCGGTGTCGGTCAGGCAGATTGGCCTGTAGGAGGATGGCTCCCCCGGTGGCTTGCCCGGCTTGGAGAGCAGCAGCAGCTTCTGCCTTTTCCACCTCTCCGGAAAGATTCCCTCCTCCAGGCACTTGGAGTACAATGCGGCGAACTCCCTCGGGTGAAGTGCTATAGCTATTTTCAGGGCCCTGTTGGGTATGGCATCCGGCCCCG